CTTGTAAATAATATGCTTTTATAAAAATTATAATAGCTAATAGATTGAAATTTGATAACTAAAACAAACAATTCTCATGAGAAACCTAACATTTGGAAAGTTAGTTTTCTATTATTTTAGTAATTATTATTAAAAGCACTCAAAAAGTACTTTTGAAGGTATTTGAAGTAAGCATATATGAATATGTACTCAGTTTTAGAAATTGTACTAATTTTGCAACTAAAACCAACAATTAATATCACTGAAAATCACGAGACAATTTGGGCACAAATAGTATTTTATTACTTTTTATCAACATTTGTGCCTATTTTTAGTGAATGATAGAAATATTGTGTCAAATGATCAAATGTTTCAAATCTTTATATACAGAGTTTATGTACGAGAAAGTCATTTGTATAAAAGCCGATTCTCAAGTGAATACATGTCTAAATTATTGACTCTTTTAGTAAATTGTGTTTTATTATAAATGTTGTTTAAGGAATATATTTAAAAGTAAATTTCATATAATCAATTATATATTACATTTATATTACGGTGAAATTGAATATCCTTTTAATTATTTTTTCAAAAATTGTGTTTTAAGTGTAATATTATATCTTTATATTAATTACATATTTAACGACAATTTTAAAGACAACTAACTCTTTGGAAATTTTGAGATATTGTGCAATACATATGCATACAACATGTAATTAAAGCACAGGTATTGCATAATGGCTCTAATTTTTCACTGGTAATCTACATTCAATTTTTGGATAAATAATTTTACATTAAATTAATGTAAGTATAAAAAGTACATAGTAAATTTTGAAAATTGAATAGCAGTGAAAATCTCTTAAGTACAAATATTTGAATAACTATTTTAAATGTTATAATTTAATAACTTTTTAAATACTTTTTGCATTTTGGAGACAATTTCATTTGCTTCATCACTAGTAAAGCCATTAATTTCCTCAAAATATGGCAATAATTTAGACAATGATATATACCATCGGCTAATGTTTGGATAATCAGTCAAATCGTAATTATAGTAAATTAGAAATGAAAGGCTGGCCGACAGTGACAGGTCTGCAATAGTTAAATGATTGTCCACTAAATATGTCTTATCGCCAATCAGTTGATTCACAAGTTTTAGATTATCTTTTAATAAACTGATTGTGGATTCCGTAAGGATTGAACGAAATTTTGAGAAAAACTATTTTCAATAAAAATAATTTTAACAAGGAAAACAACTTTTGATTTGAAAAACATTTTTACCGTAACATCTCTGATGAATGGGAATAGAGTGCAGTCAGTGTAGAGCCAACGGTCCACTTCAGCCCTTGTTTCGAGGTCCTTGGGGTAGAGTTGAGTGTCCGGACCATATTTGCTACACAAATATTGCATAATAGCCCGACTTTCCCATAGTTTATACCCATTGTCATCGATCGCGGGGACCAGACCCCCAGGACTCACCTGTTTTGGTTTGGTTTGGTGTATAAGTTATAGGAATTATTGAATATTATTAACATAATTATAGAATATTTAAATTTGTTAAATAGAGAAAATAAATATTTATTTTAATATGGTATATTAATATTATAATATAAGCTATTATAGTAATTTGAAAATAAACTTACGCTTAGATATTCTGGTTGTAAATGTTGTCCGACACATAACTCAATTATCTTGATATTAGTCTTAATGTTGAGTTCCTTGGTTAACATGAGGACCGCTCGAGAGGGAGGACTGAAAGGCCACATATATAAGTCAATTGACATTTTGGGCGATTTTTATACAAATTAATTGTATTTTATTGTAGTATTAAAAGAGGATTAAATTGCTTTGAATTAAATTCATAGAACTAAAGAAATAACTAACAGTCTGACAGCATTTATTTTATAGTTATGCTCAACTTAATAGATTAGTTTCAAGGACCTTGTTCATATTACTGCGTCAATTAGATTTAATGAATTACAGTACGATTTTTAAGTACATATCCATTGGTTTTCTTACTCCTTTAATAATCACAATATTGTGATTACATGATATAACTTCACACATAAGTGCTATTGGTAGGCATATTTGACAATTATAATCAACAGTTAATTTCCTGATATGATTACTTAAATAACTATATCCTAAATCATAGACAGCCATACTGTATAATAAACATAATGAACTGCAAAACTGACGTTTCTAACCTTTTCTATTACCATGGTCAACTCAATAATCGTTTTGTTCTTAATACCGGTAGCTATTTTGGACACATTTAGTGACTTTAATTATACAAATTGCTTGAGTCATTTTAGGTTGTTAGATTGTACATAATTTAAAATAATTATAACATAGAATTTAAATCTTTATTTTTAAGAATAAACAATACATTTTTCAATCAGTTTAATAAAAGTAAATATATACTTATAGAAATATTTAAGAATATTAGTTAATTAGAGTATTGTTTGAGTTATACCCTGACACATTTTATTGACTTTTACTACGTCTCGCGAGGAAGAATGCCTTCATTTTAGCCATATATCCCATAATATCTTCGTTTTCAAACTTATTAATCTCGTCAAAATAAGGCAGTTCTTCAGTCAATCCAGTCATCCAAGTCTTAAAGTTAGGGTAAGGACTCAAATCCATGTCAAATATTATCAGGGAGTTAGTAGTGGCCAAAACAGATAAATCGGCAATTGTTAGGTTACTTCCCGCCACATATTTGTTGTTCCCAATTAACTGATCCAAGAGTTTGATTGTGTCATTAAATTTCGTCTTATTTTCTTCGCTCATTTCCAAACCCATAAATTTTGGTACCAACTATTGGTTTGATTGTTATCACAGTTAACTACACCCACCAAAATTATTCAAACAAACTTACCAGTGATTCTCGGAGTGCGCTAAAAATAGACAGGTCATAATTAAGCCAACGGTCCACAAGTGCACGCTTTTTGGGATCACTCGGATAGAGGGGACTGTCCGGTGCGTATCGGTTACACAAGTATTGCATAATAGCTCTCGACTCCCATAATATGAACCCGTCGTCATCAATGGTAGGAACAGTATGAGCTGGGTTAATCTGTAATTTAATTTTTAAAATTTCAATTAATATTTAGTTTGATAATTTAAAAATTACCTTGAGGTAATCTTCAGCTAAATGTTGGCTTTGACTCAGATCAACAGTTTTGATATTTAAATCAATATTCAAATGCTTAGCCGTCATGAGGACTGCCCGACAGGGAGGGCTATAACGGAGTGAGTAGATATCGATCGGCATCTTATTGTCAAATATTTGCACTTAAAAAGAAAATTGTTTTTTAAATGTTTTATAATTGAATGAAAGATCTTTGAGTTGAGTATAGAGTAAAACAACAGTTGGATACCAGTGTGCGGTATAACTGAATGTTACAAATGAATGTTTCACGGCTTTTATTCAATCGTTATGTACCGTACAACTAATCTCACGTAATATTCAACCAATTCAAGGATTTTTTTATCATGCAATGCAATGAAATATTGAAAATAATATCAACATTTATTAACACAATAAATGTTTTTGTTTAATCAATATATCTGTTGACAACACATTCTCTATTTATAGTGAAACAAATTATTTTCTAAAGTTTTTTATTTACTTAATTCCCTAACAAAACGTATTAAAAATATTGACATTTTGTCGGCTGACCCATGTGTTCATTATAACTAAAATAATGAAATTAGTTGATAATTGAGAAAACTTTTATTCAATGATCTACATACAATCTTTATAATGTAATAAATAATATTGTACTATCTTGATTGTATAATAAAGACTTTAGACTTAAGTATAAATAATCAACAAATTTATATTTTTATCAATTCTGTTTGATTTCACTTTAAGTGTTTTGTTACTGCTATACGCAAACCGTTTGCAATGTTTTATGACCCAGCTCATAGGAATCTGTGGTAGTATCCGATTTTGTTAATTTAATGATAAGTTATTATAAAATACTCGATAATTTTATATTTGTTGAAATGGTTTATAAAGAACAGTAATAATTAAATTGATTGATTAAAATATAAGTTATAATTAAAANATCTGTGGTAGTATCCGATTTTGTTAATTTAATGATAAGTTATTATAAAATACTCGATAATTTTATATTTGTTGAAATGGTTTATAAAGAACAGTAATAATTAAATTGATTGATTAAAATATAAGTTATAATTAAAAGTAAATAACAAACAAAATAACTTTAAAGGGGCAAGGAATTTAATGAAAACAATTGCATAATATTTTAATATGATTTCATTTTAAATAAATAACTTAGAGATTTGGTTAAATGTATATTTAATTACATTGCTATTAAAATTATATATTTATTAATTAAAAAATACAATGTTTAATTATTTTCACTATTATTCACATTTTAGTTTTTATCGAAGTGTTAAAGTTAATTATTTATTCTTTTATAAAATAATAATTAGTATGTTATCTATTCTTTATTAACTAAAGTTTAGTTTTATAATTATAAAAATATATCTAATTATACAAATTCCTTAAGTCATTTTTGGTTGTTAGATTGTACATAATTTAAAATAATTATAACATAGAATTTAAATCTTTATTTTTAAGAATAAAAAATTAGTTTTATAATTATAAAAATATATCTAATTATACAAATTCCTTAAGTCATTTTTGGTTGTTAGATTGTACATAATTTAAAATAATTATAACATAGAATTTAAATCTTTATTTTTAAGAATAAAAAACACATTTTTCAATGAGTTTAATAAAAGTGAATATATACTTATAGAAATATTTAAGAATATTAGTTAATGAGAGTATTGTTTGAGTTATACCAGGCACATTTTATTGACTTTTATTCATTTTCTCAAGAAAGAAAGCCGTCATTTTGGCCATAAATCCCATAATATCTTCGTTTTCAAACTTATTAATCTCGTCATAATAGGGCAGTTCTTCACTTAACCCGGTTAACCAAGTCTTAAAGTTAGGGTAAGGACTCAAATCCATGTCGAATATTATCAGTAAGCTAGTAGTGGCCAACAAAGATAAATCGGCAATTGTTAGGCCACTTCCCGTCACATATTTATTGTTCCCAATTAACTGATCCAAGAGTTTGATTGTGTCATTAAATTTCGTCTTATTTTCTTCGCTCATTTCCGAACCCATAAATTTTGGTAACTATTGGTTTGATTGTTATCACAATTAACTACAACCACCAAAATTATTCAAACAAACTTACCAGTGATTCTCGGAGTGCGCTAAAAACAGACAGGTCATAATTAAGCCAACGGTCCACAAGTGCACGCTTTTTGGGTTCAGTCGGATAGAGGGGACTGTCCGGTGCGTATCGGTTACACAAGTATTGCATTATAGCTCTCGACTCCCATAGTATGAACCCATCGTCATCAATGGTAGGAACAGTATGAGCTGGGTTCATCTGAAAGGTTATTTTTACAAATATGTTATTTAATATTTAAATGTTTAGTAATATTATTTTACTGTTACATAGTTTTAAATTATAAATACCTTGAGATAATCTTCGGCTAAATGTTGGCCTTGACTCAGATCAACAGTTTTGACATTTAAATCAATATTCAATTGCTTAGCCGTCATGAGGACTGCCCGACAGGGAGGGCTATAACGGATTGAGTAGATATTAATCGGCATCTTATTGTCAAATATTTGCACTTAAAAAGAAAATTGTTTTTTAAATGTTTTATAATTGAATGAAAGATCTTTGAGTTGAATATAGAGTAAAACAACAGTTGGATACCAGTGTGCGGTATAACTGAATGTTGCAAAACTGAAAATATTATCAACATTTATTAACACAATAAATGTTTTTGTTTAATCAATATATCGTTGACAACACATTTTCTATTTATAGTGAAACAAATTATTTTCTAAAGTTTTTATTTACTTAATTCCCGAACATAACGTATTAAAAATATTGACATTTTGTCGGCTGACCCATGTGTTCATTATTACTAAATTTATAATGAAATTAGTTTATAATTGTTAAACAATTTTATTCAATGATCTACATCAAATCTTTATAATGTAATAAATAATAGTGTATGAATGACTTTAGACTTGAGTATAAGTAATCAACAAATTATCAATTCTGTTTGATTTCACTTTAAGTGCTTTGTTATTGCTATACCGTATAGCCTATACGCAAACCGTTTGCAATGTTTTATGACCCAGTTCATATAAATCTGTAGTAGTATCCGATTTTGTTAATTTAATAATAAGTTATTATAAAATACTCGATAATTTTATATTTGTTGTAAATGGTTTATAAAGAACTGTACATAATTAAATTGATTGATTAAAATATCAGTTATAATTAAATGTAAATAACAAACAGAATAACTTTAAAGGGGCAAGGAATTTAATGAAAACAATTGCAAAATATTTTAATATGATCTCATTTTAAATAAATAACTCATAGATTTGGTTAAATGTATATTTAATTGTACATTGCTATTAAAATTATATATTTATTAATTAAAAAATACAATGTTTAACTATTTTCACTATTATTCACATTTTAGGTTTTATCGAAGTGTTAAAGTTAATTATTTATTCTTTTATAAAATAATAATTAGTATGTTATCTATTCTTTATTAACTAAAGTTTAGTTTTATAATTATAAAAATATATCTAATTATACAAATTCCTTAAGTCATTTTTGGTTGTTAGATTGTACATAATTTAAAATAATTATAACATAGAATTTAAATCTTTATTTTTAAGAATAAAAAATACATTTTTCAATGAGTTTAATAAAAGTGAATATATACTTATAGAAATATTTAAGAATATTAGTTAATCAAAGTATTGTTTGAGTTATACCCTGACACATTTTATTGACTTTTATTCAGTTTCTCAAGAAAGGAAGCCTTCATTCTGGCGATATATGCCTTATGGAGTCCGTCGTCTTTAAACTTATGAATCTCGTCAAAATAAGACAGTTCTTTAGTCAATCCAGTTATCCAAGTCTTAAAGTTAGGGTAAGAACTCACATCCACGCCCAATACTATCAGTGTGTTAGTAGTGGCCAACAAAGATAAATCGGCAATTGTTAGGTCACTTCCCGCCACATATTTATTGTTCCCAATTAACTGATCCAAGAGTTTGATTGTGTCATTAAATTTCGTCTTATTTTCTTCGCTCATTTCCAAACCCATAAACTTTGGTCTCAACTATTGGTGATTGTTATCACAGTTAACTACACCCACCAAAATTATTCAAACAAACTCACCAGTGATTCTCCGAGTGCGCTAAAAACAGACAGGTCATAATTAAGCCAACGGTCCACAAGTGCACGCTTTTTGGGTTCAGTCGGATAGAGGGGACTGTCCGGTGCGTATCGGTTACACAAGTATTGCATAATAGCTCTCGACTCCCATAGTATGAACCCGTCGTCATCAATGGTAGGAACAGTATGAGCTGGG